TCTGGTCCCGGTTTTTCCTCTATCTGTAATTGTAAAAAAATTAATTAAAGAGTTTTCTTAATAAACAAGTATTATTTATTTTTTTACATTTTTATATAATTTCAGATCAAAACATAACAAACAACAAATTAATGGCAATTTTCTTTTTCGTATAACTCGTTTAATTTTTCAACGACCTCATTCATTAATGGTCTTTCGTTTTCTTTGTGTTTCCAACATAAATCAATCAAATTATATCTATCAACTGATATATAATCTGGCCGTTCTAGACGTTTCCCAGTAGTGACAAAGTCAGCTATGTCCCATGCATATTTAAAACTCTTTTTAGAAAAAGCTCTTTTCCAAGCAAAGCATTCATACATAGTAATAGCAAACGAATAGACATCACTTGGTGTCTTATATTTTTCTTTATTTAAAACTTCTGGTGCCATATATTTAGGTGTTCCAACACCTTTTGTGAATGTCATGTTAGTCATCAACATATTGATATTTCGACTCGCTCCAAAATCAGTCAACTTTGCATTGCTCTCGACACCACTTTCAATGGAAAATATCAATAAATTGTCTGGTTTAATGTCTCTGTGTAATATCCCATTTTCATGTAAATAAAAAATTCCTTTGGCTCCATCAATCAAAAATTTAATTTGCATATTTTTAAATAATTTTTGTTGTGCATTTCTAAAAGTTTCAAATTTGTCATTTTTGCAGTCGTTGATCAAATCCCCAAGCGATCCAAATTCAGCAAATTCAGTCACAAAACATATTTTTGAAACAACAAAAACAGCTCCATAGAATTTGACTATAAATTCACTTCTAAATTTGTCTAACATCAAAACTTCCTTTTCAAACTCATCGAGAGCATTTTTACTTTGTCCAGTCTCTTTCAACTTTTTGATAGCAACTTGATTCCCTCGAAAAGTGCCTTTATAAACAACTCCAAAACTCCCTTCTCCTATTTTCTTCTCTTCTGTAATTTCATCTGGATCAAGACGAGAAGAAATCTCTGTCACTGCTTTGATTTTAATGTCAATTTCACTTGTTTTACCTTTTTTCATGTTTTTGGAGAACAAAATTATATTGTCTTCGATTTGTGTACTGCAATTTGGTGTTAAAAATAACTCAAATTCAACAGCTTTGCCTTTTGGAATTGTAAAGAGTTGAGGGACTGAACGTATTGAATATTTGAAACACCCACTTTTGACACTGAATTGCACTTTTACAACATGTTTACTCACATTCCCAACACAAAGTAATTCACGACTCTCACGACCTACTAAGATATTAGACTCACTATTTTCATTCCCAAATAGAATTTCGGTCTTATTCACTACAATTTTGGGTGCACTCGTCTTGAAAAATTTCACATTTGAACGCGAAATGTCGAAAACACACAATTTCTCTTGAATTTTTTTAATTCGTCGACGTTCTAAAACACATTTTAAACTAATTCCTGTTATCATCAATATAGTTATTAATATTATTAAAAATACTATTACTATAATAAGAATAAGCCACCACACCACTTCTTTAACACAAGCAGTTTGTGTGGAATTTGGGACGTGCCAGAATGAGCATTTAACGCACTTGGAATTTTGAACTGAAATGCATTGTTTTATAAAGTTTATAGAAGTGCAACGTGAAGATGTTAAGACGAAGTTGTCATCACAAGAATTACAAATTCCATTTGAATCACAAGAAGTGCAATTTTCAGTGTTTTCACTACATAGAGAACAGTACTGATTTTTCACGAAATAGCCTGTAGAACATGTGGTACACCCACTTGGACTTTTACTGATGCAATTTGTGAGTAAATCATATGAATTGCATTTTGTTGAGTCGAAAGACAAAAAGTAGTTATCTTGACATTTTAAACATTTATTCATTTGATTACAGTCGGTACAATTATTAATGCACGACTCACAAGTCCCTTCATTACTTCTGAAATAGGAAGTGTTACAAATTGCGCATTTAGTCATTCCAGTGATTTGTTTAATACAATGAGTGTCTATAGAAGAACTTAACACGCACATTTTATTCGATAAAATGTAATTGTTTGAACATGTTAAACATAGAGTCAAGTTATAACAATCATCACAATTGTCAGCACACTTTTTGCAGATGCCGTTTGATAAGTAAAACCCTTTAAGACACCGATGACAAATGTTTTTATCTGAATTAATTATTTCACAATTAAAAACTGAAGTAAAATTCACATAAGATTCACATGTGTAATTTTCATTTAATAAATACTGTGTTGAACATAATATGCACTTATTACTTTTAGATGAATATTCACAATTGTCGTTTGAAACACAAATTCCTTCTGAATTGATGTATTGTGTTGGGTACTGACACTGCGAACAAAAAGTTGAACTTTCTGATTCTTTGCATGAACTTTGTATATCATTTACACATTCACCGTTTGTGTTTAAAATTGAATGCAAACACTTTAAACAGTCTGTTGAGTTACATTCCAAGCATAAATCCGTGTATTTCATTGAACAGAATTTGCACACATTTTCTTCTTGATAACAGTCAGTCGCACAGAAAAGTATATTATTTGTGTTACTGAGCATTATTCCATCATTTTGTTGACATATCCCATTTTGAAGTAAACTTTTTGAATTACAAGTTTCACAAATAGTCGAATTTGTACATTTAACACAATTACGCGGACATTGCAGGCACTGTGTTTGAGTAGAAAAATAAGTTTCTTTACAAAGAATTAAATACTCTCTTTCATACAGAGCAACACTTTCTAGTGTTATTTCCTTGCAATTTCCTTCATATGAATAATAACTTTTATCACATAAAATACACTTCGAGTCGACACACCGTTGGCATTTTTTGATATTACAACTTTTACATGTTATTTTAGTCGCTTCATACCTCTTGGGACAACTCTCACATATAGTTTTATTTGTTCCCAAAACACACTTATCATCAAAAATTTGACATTGATTATCAACTAAATAACTTGAAGAGCATTTTAAACACAATGAAGTTGTCGAATTAATAAGTAACGTGTCACAAAAGAAAGAAGTTCCATAAGTTATATTACCACTCTCTTTATCATATGTAAAAGTGTTTTGATGACCAAAAACAAGTTTATTGAAAGAGTCTGTGTAAGTCAAAGTTTGGTTTTGTATGGAATTATCACTCACATAAATTACAACATCTTTTGTATTATTAAAATCACTAATTGAATTCACAGTTTTAGTAAAATTGACTTCATCATTGTGTTGAACAAATTTGCCTTCAAAAATCACATTTTGAATAACTGCAAGAGACTCGACTAATATTGTAGTGTGTGGTGTTGATAATGGGCAATGTACTACATTACCATAACTAGTATATTTACTCATATCTTCTTCATGTAAAACACAAATTACATTTTCATCATTAAAACCACTTTTGCACACTCTCATTAACTTATTTCCAAGTACTTTTATACTCTCTGATATTGTAAAAAGACTTCTAAAATTGGTGTCTTCATCTTCAAGAGAAATTACTTCAAAACATTTGATATCGTTTGGGTATTGCATAACTTGTATCGTAATATATTGTGCTGAACTTGATATTTTACCTCCACTAAATACAGAAATGACACTATTTGTATTTTGGTTATTTCGTGCTATGTCAACAATTAAATTTCCAATTATCAAATTTCCGTTGTATTTCACATCAACCAAAACACTGTTTTTGATTTGGAAATTATTTGTGCTTGTAAATTTTTGTTCTAACACCAAATTGGCGTTTAAAATGCAATTTGTTGTTATTAATTGAAAATTGTTATTCAAAGTCAGTTCTTTGTTAATAATAATTTGATCCCATTTTTCATCTTCTTTCATTTGATATAACGCAGTTTCTATTTGTAAAGTCAAATCGTTATGTAAACTATTATTTAAACAGTCACCTTTGTTAATATTTGTAACACCAGCCGGTTCAAAACCATCTGCAGTGTAATTACATTGACACAAGAAATTTTTATTTAAATTGTATACAGCTCTTCTCCCACATTTTGTAAGTTGTTTACTGTAATCTTCTAATACTTCGTCGACTGTAAATAAAATTTGATCTTTTAGTGTGTTGTCTGTGATAGTAACAGAAGTAACTCCAAGTCCTTTTTTGAACCAAAAATTGCTTATTGAAGAAATAATTAAATTTTCAATTTTACATTTTTTCTCAAATATGACAGTGTTCTCATTTTTAATTTCAAGTGTTGTGAAATGCAATTTTTTATTATTATTGCCACTTTTTGTTGTTAAAATGTATTGCATTTGATCATTTAAAACAAGGGAATACCAATCACTAAAGTCCAATTGAACAACTTCATTTTCTACACTTAAATTTGTCAAATTTAAATCAAAAAGTGAACTGTTATAATTACAGTCTGGAAAATTATAAACGTCCTCTCCAGTTGCATTAAACATTTCTATGATACAATTACAATTAGTGTAATTATCACCATTTGTACTTTTAAATTTATAATACATATATCTTCCTATAGTATTTCTTTCACATACACACTTCGCTTTTAAAGTGCCATTATTTATGTTTCGAAATGTGATTTGGTCCTCACTTGAATATCCAGTGAAGAGATAATCACTAGTATTAAATGTTGTACCTCCATTATATTGAGAAAATGCAAAATTGGGTGACTGTTTAACATACCCAGCAATATACAAATATTGCACTTTGGCAGTGTTAATTCGCATTGTGTTGATCCACCACTTCTGATCAATATCTGAGTACAAAATCAGTGGTTTGATTGTTGCTTCAATAGGTGGCCTATTTTTGTCATTCACTTCTTTTCGACATTTATTTTCATTGTTGAAACAACCAACATATAACGTAAAGGCGTTTTCTGTTCGTTGTTTTTCAGCAACTTCAAATCGAGTTTCTATTTTCATGATGTGTAGAACTAGTTTTGAAAATTGTGGAAGACCAACACCAAATAAGAAACTTTTGTTTTGACAATATAAAACATTTGTTTCTTCATAGTCTTCAAACACTTTGATTTGTTCAACAGTGGCATCTTTCGTAAAAGTAAAAATACTTTTTTCGTTGTTATTGGAAATGGAATAATCAAACATCCAAGAGGGATGGTCGTTGCACCGCGCAAGTTGTGTATTTATTGGTTTTATAATTCCATCATTTTCACACCAAGTGCTTCTACCCGCAAAGGTTAAAATTGGTGAAAATAAAAGAAGGGTTTTGACAAGAGTTATACACATAAAATATATTTGACAGTTGTTTAATAATTTTATGAAAACTAAAATAATCAGAATATTATCAAAATGTAACTGAAAATAAAAGATAAATGGGTGGATTGTTTTTCAAATAATTGTTTTGTAAGAGTATTTTTTATTAAATAATAGCTTTAATTTTTTTGGTTTGTTATTTTTTATTTAGTTATTATAACAAATATATTATATTTTAATAGTTTTACTATATGACAATAATAGTTTGTATTTTTTTAAATGTATTTTCAAAAATTTTGTGATAAAAAAATAATTTCAAATGAAAACACATAAAATAAATTTAAAAATATTATAATTAACGTTATAATTATAATGTTGTGGTTGTAATTATGCAAACAAATGTTTGTATTAAATCAAAAATAGTTTAATATAATATAATCCGAATTTAAATACAACTTTTATTTAAAAAATGAAAAACATTGTGTACAGATATAGTAATTGATGAATGACAAGAATTAATTGGGTGACAGATGAATTTAAAGTAATTTAATAAGTCTTTATAGAAATTGTTATTTTGTGAAAAAAATAAATAAAAAATAAAAAACCAAATCCCACTTTATTACACCATTTAATCACTGTTTTTTTTTTGTCATTCATTTTTTCTTCAATTTGTAATATTTTAATTCAAAATATCGACAAAAAACCGATATTTTGTTCGAAATTTAAAATATACGACTGCCCAATTCGACATTTAAATGAATCGACCAGGGTCGGCCAAGATCCAGTTTTTAAACAACTTCGTGGCAATCTTTAATATGTGTCAGTTCATTTTTAGTTTTAGCCTTTTGTCAGCAAAAAACTTAAAAAGTTTTTTAGAGTTAAAATGTTTTTAAAAATTGATAAAACTATAGTTAACGATTTAAACAAAATTTTTGTATTGTTAAATTATCATTACAATGTGTTATAATCCAGTTTTAAAGAAACAAAATTGAACAGTAAAAAAAACATATGAAATTATAAAATACGAAGTTTTTAAAATTAAATAACAATATTCACTCGTTATAATTATCGTATATACAGAAGATATATAGTAAAAATAATAATTATTAGAAATGATTTTAGTGATTTCAACATAAAATTTTTATTTCAACAATTATTAATAATTTTCAACATTTACATTTATTTTAATTGATTATGTATATATGTATATTTGTCAGTTTAACAAAGGTTTTGAATGGTTCATTCATGTCATTTTTAAATTAAACAATCAAATAGAAGTAATTTTATTATCTTTTGAAATAATACAAAACAAACAATGTATTATTTTTCGAATGAAGTTAACCATATTACTTTCAAAACAGTAAAACTTATCTTTAGTTAATTTTCTTGATAAAAACGATTACTTAAAATACGATAATAATCAGTCAAAATAATAATTATCACCCAAATAAAAAACATAATCAAAGCAACTTTAAATAAGTTTTTTTTACATGTATAATTTACAATTGAAAGGTTTTAACGTACAATTATATTAACACAAATATATAATTTTATTGTTGTATTCTAAAGTAATTTGAAAACAATTTGGTGTTTGATATAAATTATCGTTTTATTTTTTTTATT